CTGACTTTGATGATTTACCAACGACCACCATGAAGCTGACAGCTGTGGTTAAGAGGTGGGAAATCGCCATGAAATTTGGCACAGATATTTAGGTTCTTCTACGGATAACTTTGTTTTTTTTAATTTGTCATTTAATGGAGGCGTATGCCTGCTACACTAGAAAATGAAAAACAGATCATTATCAAGCTATAACATGAACAGTGTATTATTATAATGAGATTTTTCCCTTTATGAAAAGATATTTTCATGTGATTATGGCATAAACTTGTCATACTACAACAATTAACGTTCCTTGTAACAAAATACTGTATGTTTTTATAAAGTTAAATGCTTCAAGTTATAACAAGATAACTTATTGACTTATTTATATACGTACAGGAAGTGTAAATTGAGAAATATGGCTCATGTTTACAAGTTAATTCAACCTTTTGTTTGAGCTGAAAGATGGCAAGATCCTGCTGTTATTGAGCACAATGGATGAATCTGGATAATACTGTGACATGTATGTATATACAATATGATGTCTGTATCATCCTTTGTGTAACAAGAAAATGCAGCATGCAAGCAAAGTCTTTTTTTGAGTTAGAGAAAAAGTTCCAAAAAAATGACATTCTGTTGCTCTGGTAAGAAGAAGAATTTCATTTTGACAATTGAGTTAAAAAAGTTTTTGAGCTGTTTAACTGGTGACAAAGTCTTAACCACTGACTTAAATCTACACTTCAGTCAGGAAATGCCACAGATGACAAAATAAATAAGCGGCTAGATTCTGGCGTGTCTGCTAAAAACGTTTCCAGGCTCTTAAATGTCCACAGCTCCTCTATTTGTTGTCAAAGAAATCATTTGGATGGACGAGTCCAACGACGTGGGGCAACATTCCACAAATTACCATCAATAACCTCGTTAACTTTGTGCGTCACAGATGTGTCGCACTACGCAATGCAGAAAGTGGACACCCTGACTTGATTTTTCTGCTTTATGACCCCACTCTCAATGGGCCCAAAATAATTTCCATTTGAGTCGCACTTAGTTGTTTTATGACGTCCATTCTGTTGTAAAGATGCCATTTGTTGGCAAAACAAATACTAATTCCAATGCTAAAAACAACAGACTTTGACAAAATATTCAAAGTTGTCTTTTTGTTCAGTGTAGTATATTGTTATAAGGTGGAAATATGTTTTTACAACGACAACATTTTCACACTGTAACATGATATTGATCTGTCAGCTGCCTCTTTCTGGTCAAACACTCTGCTTAACGACCAAACACCTGCAAAACTAAGAACATCCCCATCAGCCGCAGCTGCTGTTTTGCGCTCAGCCTTGGCTCGGCTTCACAGAGCGTCCAGCACGGCTGCAGACTCCGAGCTGCAGACTCCGAGCTGCTTCCATTTACTCATCATCTCTCAGTATTTTCTGATGCAGCAAAGCCAGTCAGCAGCTGTCTTCTACCTGAGAATTTCTTGTACCTGCGGTGAATTTCAAATGACTCCTAGTTCATGTTTGGCGGTCACCTGTCCGCTGTTCACAGAGCGAGGAAACCTGGCGTTACGCTCTCTGGACAATTGTACATGAGGAAAAAAAATAAAAAATCTCGCGCTTCACAGAGAGCTGGGGAATAAGCAGTTGACGTACGTAATAGAGAGGTAAGCACAGGCCATAAAAAATGTAGACTTGTGATGACTCCCTGGCTGAGCCCTCAGGCAAGACAGCTACAAGTTAATAACGCAGAGTAATTTGCTGAATGGGTCTGTAATGGCGATCTGCAAAGGAACATACTCTCTTCAGAATGAATATTGGATAGCTTTCAAGCTCATCTATGATTTGGACTTCATTTCATCCACTCATAATCTTCTCTCAATCAACTTGTGCTCGGCGTTATCCTCTGGTTTCCTGCAGAGCTGTCAGAGGCGCTTCAGAGCACTGCTGACCTGTCTGTGAACTAAATGAAATACCACAAATTACGACAGGCAAGTAGCTATACGGTAGAAAGACAGGAGAAAAGTTGGAGTTGAAGGAGTGACCCCATCCGATGTATCTTTGCCTGTTCACATTTCTGGTCTCTCTAATCTTCGTCCAATTTCCTACATTTTTTTTCCAGGTTAGCTGGCCTCTCCCATCTTATCTTTACACCTCACATCTAACTTCCTCTCCCACTGTTTTCCCCTCAGCTATCGTCTCCCTTCTGCGGCCGAAACGCAGCAATTATTCATATGTATCGACTGGTATCTCCTTAGAACAGATCACTCATTCTTCTCCCTCCTTCACACACAATCTCCCTCACGCTCGCTCACTATCTGCTTCTCTCCTCTCTATCTCGTGTTGTTTTGAGTCATTATTCTTCAGCATGTACGGCTCTGAAACTTACATGCCCCCCCGATGGTTTGAGTCTGAGTTCACGCTTTGAAGTGGGGATGTGTAAGAGATATATCTCAAAGTACAGCAGCTGAGTCTCTCTATTTTAAACAACATCCCTGGTGTCTGGGAGAAAAAAAAGCTTGAAGACTGAGGCCCTGATTTTCTGGAGCACTGCTTCTTTTTTTTTCTTTTTTTTTTGTGCCTAGTTTCTGTTTATTTTAGCTTTTGATACAGTAAAATGGTTTGGTTTTAGATAAATACCCTCACATAATTATCACCTGGAGTGTGAATGTAATGTGATTTAAAAAAAAAAAAAAAAAGACAAATAGCTAGGGGTTATTTGTGAGCAGACGCAAACTAAACCAGTTTGTGGGGGTGAATTTAATTTGTTGGAAGGGCAGCGCGGAATCTTATCAGCCACTAATGATGGCAACACTGCTGCGAAGAGATATTGACTTGTTTTGGGAATTAAGATGTGTGTGTGTGTGTGTCGACTCTCATTTGAACCGTATCGTTGTGAGAAGCAATTGAGTTTTACACTTTCAGAGAACCGGCCGGTCCTCTTCTTTTAAGGTTTGGACTTTCAGGGTTAGGTTGGAAATGGGAATATTTTACCATAAGAACAAAAACAAAATAAGCATTTGCTCAAATTTGCATGCATATGGGAGATGATCAGTCAATTTATTTATATGATTGTGGGAACGGATTAATTCTTTACGCTATTTATAAAGTGAAATGACCGAAAATTGGGTCAATATGACTTCACAAATACAGGGATTGCTTTGTGATTGGTTTTTAGCTGCGGTAGCTGCATGGATTTAAGGATCCCTTTACTTTTTATCCAGCACCATTGTCATGTCATAATTTAAATTTGTCCAGTAATGAATACAGACCTCTTCTGATTAAAAAGCACATTTCTTGTCTTTGTTACAACCTTGTCCATATGGGTTTTTTTTTTTATATGTCTTTCTGCATGACTTTTGGTTTTGCTTCTGGTTCAAACATGTATGACTGAATTACAAGTTGTCATTGTGTAGTTCAGCTTCACAGTGTTTGAGCAGAGTCATAGGTGAGCTGATCTGCTTGAGCTGCATCAAGTGAGGACGGGTGAGTGAATAAATAAATCTGCACAGTCTAGATGAAGCAACAGTAGAGGTACATCTAAGTCATTTTAGGCATGAAGGAATTATTTTCGAAACTTCTAGCTCTGTAACGTTGATACACAGAGATGAACTTTTAGGGATTTAATCTACGACCGAAGAGGGACTTTAAATTCTTCCAAACTGAATGACATTTCCACCGAGCTCAGATGTGCTTTAGGCTTAGAGCTAATCAGTTAATGTGAACCTAAGATGGTCACGGCAGACATTATACCAGCATGTTCTGAGCACAACATTAGTATCAGCTAACTGCAGCCTAACAGACTCACCAGCATGGCTGTCTTTATTAATAATCTGTTTGGTTTATTTTTTAATGTAAATGAAAAAAACAACAACTTTGGGGTCAGTGAGACCAAATTAATGAATTCCTGTGGGATCTAATTTTTAAAGGACTACTAGAATTATTCGTGGCATTTATAGCATCGATAGATAATTATTTAAAACATAATCCTTAGTTGCAGCTGCACACACATGCATGCAACTTCTCCTGTGAGCCTAATAGAGCGGTTATCTGTATCTGTGCCCATGCTGTATGTGTTTGTCTGTTGTGGGTAAAAGATACTAGAAGCGCAGGTAGTTATCTTCGAGTGATGATTCCTATTCATTTTAAACGCAGTCTGACAGCCAGATAAAAGAAAACAGGGGTCCAGAGTTGATTACAGGCAACGATTCTCGCCCAGATATGCTGCTACGTAACTGATGAACACATTGTTAGACTGTGAGAAGAATATAAAAAGACTGAAAAGAGTTCAAAGCAGAACTGCTGCTCTGGGAGAAAAATTACAGGACAGTGTACTTTATTCAACACGCTGCTTTCACTGATTGCACCTCCACTTCAGCTCCAACTGTTTTCCATTCTGTGCGTTTGTCGCACAAGGCTTTTCTCTCATTGCTTTATGAATGCTCCAACACCAAAATCAATGAAATTCCTTATGTTTTTGTGATCTTCTTTTGAATTTGCCGTCTCCACACACCATGTGACACTTCACTTTGAGAGTATGCTGCCTTTTTTTCTTTTTTATCTCCACATTTTCCTCCCAACACAGAGAGACAAAGAGACGCTGTGTGATACTGGAGATAGTCCGACTGATTCAAGGCCGCACAAAAACCTTCGAGGCTGGGAAATCAACAAGCGTCACCATAGCAACCCCCTCAGGGAATCTGCGGCTCAGTCCACAGTGGATCTGACTCTTGATCAGCCGACAGCGATCGTCTCCAGAGGTGTGGGTGTCGAGGTCCATGTGAGAGGGCAGCTTGAGTCAGGGATGATCACAGGCGTGTTGTAATTTATCTGTGCTGGCTGGTGGCTCTCAGCTCCTCAGCATGGGTGGCACACTGCTACATTATTCATCAGACAGATGACTGGCTGTGGCAGGACGCCGAGCCAGGAGGTGTGTGTGTGTTTTGTGCTTGTGTGTCGTGAAAGAGAGACAGATTATAAAAAAAAAAATAAAAAAAATTTGAAGAGAGGTTTGTAGTGCATGTGTGGAAATAGCGAAAAATGTTTTTACGGCGTCTGCGAGAGGGTGCGTGACTGCGGCAGCTTTCGTTTCATTACATAAATTGCATCTCATATTCTGTGTTTGGCCTCTAATTCAAAAATCTGATCTTGGCTGCTGTTCCAACCCACCTGGATGTGTTCTCCAGAGTGCTGCGGACTTCGCTCATCTGCTCTTTCCCAAAATACACCACTGTCAGATGGACCCGGCCGTCCTGACGCACACAGACTTCCCTGTGCAGACACACAAACACACAAAGGAAGGGACGTCAGGGATGAAAGCGTCGTCCGAATTAAGAAGTGGGAGGGGGATTGGAGGAAGGAAGAGCGCAGGGTTCAAATAAGGGGTCTGTTTGGATGCTTTAATCCTGCTAATGCTGAAACAATTAGTCAAACTCCGATAACTATTCAGAACAAAAGTACTTGCTGATTTACTTTATATTCTAAAATGTAAGGATTTTCCTTTTTGTTCTGTTTCAGACAGTTATAAATTCAATGTCTTGGGGTTTTGGACTGACACTTGGACAAAACATGAATAAAAAGCTGGTTCTGGTAGATAATTCATGGAGGAATTAATTGAGAGTGAAAATTAACTTAATTTTCAGATATATTCCTGGCTCTTCCCACTGTGGCACATATTAAGGCACAGAGGGAGATTATGTGTGAGTCAAAGAGAGACCAGGTGGAGTTGCCTGAAGGCGCCCTGATGGAGATATGTCAGATATATCACACACATGCTGCAGATAATTCACCCCTCCCACGAGACTCTCGCACATTATGCACAGATGTGAACACACATTTGTCAGACTTTTCCCCAGAAGCACATGGGGGAAATAAATTCTCATAAAAGTCAACTAGATGAGCACAAGATGATTAAAAATGAACTACGTGCAGAGGATACTGAATACTCATGAATAATACAATTTTTTCCTGTCATTATAGAAGCTGTTGTATAAAAGTCTCTCTCTAAATGCCGGCATTATTAAAGTAAATTGATTTTTTGCTAGGATCTGATGAGGCATTCTGCAGTTTGTCACTGGGACCAGAGAGCACAAAAAATCTGTTATAATTATTTTATCATGCAACATTCTCATTTTAAAATCCACAGTTCCTGTCTGCGCAATTTGCAGCTGGTGTGAATACACATTTTATCTCCGCATTCGGCATTTTAGCATCAAAAATGCTGTTATTTTCCAGCCCGACTGTGAATATAGAAATTGTAATAAGCACGCAGTCACTCAATGTTATCATCCCTAAACATTCCCTCACAAATACCAGCGCACATGGTTTCCGTTAGTGCACCTTTAATATGGATGAGCGTAAAGTGTTTGCTCAGCGACTCGCCAAGTCTTTCAAGTAAGTACACTTCTTGCCACGCTGTATATCAACCACTGCTGGTCTGCCCAGGGGGGCACTTTAATGGGCTGCAACACTGCTACTAAGCAGGATTTACCATGTAAAAAGAGCTGTGATAAGCAGCAGCGGGAGCACAATAAATCACAGACATTAAGGAGGACATTTCCTCAACTGATGGTGACTGACTGCAGAGCTGAAACAAGCACGTTTTGCTATTAGTTTCTTTGACTGCTGGTCGCGATATAAATGTGAAATTTAACCAAAGTGACAGAAGTTATTCATTTTATTTTTACCTTTCAGGGCTCTATTAACACAGATACCGACCTTTAGACTGTTTCTTCATCAAAAATCTGTCATGGTTTTGTCTCATTCACATACAAGCTTGGATCTACCAGTGAATAAATCTACACCACGTACTATATTTAAGATGCATGTCAGCTATACTCATCAAAAATAGTACGAAATTACGTTCCTTGTGGTCATGACCTGACTGATTAAAAAACGGAGCTGGGATCTGTACGGACATCTTTATTCATATTCTTGTCATTTAAATCACTCTAAGATTTGTTTACATTCTGATTATGCCTGCCAGCACCAAACTAAATTAACTGATAACACTACACATGCAGTTTCAAAATGTTAATTACATGTTCCTTCTCAAAAAAAAAAAAGAAGAAGAAACCTCTGATGTTAATTTTCTTTCCTCTAATCTCCTCTATTCCTTGTCCTCGTCTGCATGATCACACACTCAAATGTGAGACTGGAATTGAAACTGGGTTTTATAACACCAAGTATCATATTTTCCTGAATTAGTTACGTGTGATGAAGAGAACCAGCATGAATAATTTATTGTGGTGCTTCTGTTTATGTCACGTCGGTTGTCTGACTTGGCAATTAAAAGCTGTAAATACAGTGAGAATCCTAGAAAAGTTCACCAAGCTTCACCTGAAGTTGTGCATGAACTGTTTGAACTTGTCTGTGCGTCTGGACAGCGGGACGATGATGTTGATCGGAACACTGGATGTGTCCACCTTCTCATTTTTCACCTTCATCAGCGGTCCGAAGGGCCGGAAGAGGACCAGACGTTTGAATTCATTACTCGACTCCCCTCTGAAGGTCAGCTCGTACAGTGTCCCTTTGTCCCTCTCTGTGCGAGTGATACCTGATGGGTGAAACACAAAGACATGAACTCGTGACCAAATCAGTGTGAGCCGATAAAATATCTTACGAACTTGCCTAAAGACTGGGGTTTGTGCTAGTTTGCTATATTGCAAAGAGTTGAGAAGCTCAGTATTACAGTTACAGGAAGTCACCATGAATGCCAACATGCAATGTGACATCCTGAAGCAGACCATGATCCCCTCCCTTTGGAAACTGGACTGCAGGGCAGTATGCCAACATGATAACGACCCCAAACACACCTCCAAAACAACCACTGCCTTGCTAAAGAAGATGAGGGTGAATGTGATGGACTGGCCAAGCATGTCTCCACACCTAAACTGTATTGAGCATCTGTGGAGCATCCTCAAACGGAAGGAGGACAAGGTCTCTAACAGCCAAGAGCTCCTTGATATCATCATGGAGGTGAGGAAGAGGATTCCAGTGGTAACTTGTGAAGCTCTGGTGAACTCCATGTCCAAGAGGGTTGAGTCAGTGCTGGAAAATAATGGTAGCCACACAAAATATTGACACCTTGGGCTCAATTTAGATAATTTCACTTAGGGGTGTACTCACTTTTGTTGCCAGCAGTTTAGACATTAATGGCTGTCTACTCAGTTATTTTGAGGGGACAGTAAATTTTCACTGTTATACAAGCTGTACACCGACTACTTTACATTATAGCAAAGTGTCATTTCTTCAGTATTGTCCCATGGAAAGATATAATAAAATATTTGCAAAAATGTGATATACTGCATGTCTGTGTGTTAAATATGAAGCTGCAGCCAAGAGATGGTTGCCATAAAAACTGTTGGTGAAAACAGACATGCTGTGGCTATGTTTGCAATCACGCTCTGTTTACTCCACAGTGGACAACATTAACCGTCACATTTTCTAAGTGTTCGAACTCTTTTTATATTCAGCTCAAACATTCCACAGAAACTAGTTTCCACAACGTGTACACGCCTTTCTGGAACAATCGCACAATGCAACGTACTGCATTTTATAGAATGACCGCAAACTGTACAAAAGGTGAACAAAGCCATCATGGCATCTCCCGTTGGTTGGCGGGCTACCACCGAGTCTGAAATGTCGCCGTCGCCATCTTGGTCTTGGTAAATCACAAGGCAGCCCAACTATAAAAATGGCCCTGTTTTATTGCCTATTGTACTTTAAATGGGACCATAATTTACAAAATGAGGACCACGCTGTCTTCAAAAAGTCTTGAGACTAGCGACTGAGGCCATAAACCAGTTAGAAAACATGTGCTGACGTGTCAAATCGAGAGAGAGAAGTAGGGTCGTTATCTCAGACTTCATTCTGCAACCAGAGTCGCTGCCTCCTGCTGGCAGGTAGAAAAACGTAGGTTCAAAGCGCTTGCGAGTTGGCTTCACTTTTACAGACCCAGAGGCTACATCCATCTTTTATGTGCAATCTATGAGAATGACCAATGCACAGCTCAGCAACTGTCAGTGATGACTGAAATGTCAATGCCTATGGCCCTGCCCAAAGGTAAAACAACACTAAGAGTCTAGAGAGCCACGCTAGCAGCAATATGAGGCTGTACTTATTCTGGTATTGGACAAAATTAAAAAGTCAAGAATTGGATTCAGCTGAATCATAAATTAGGGGATCAGCAAAACTACCACAAGTCATCACAGGGGGGATATAAATGTCTGTACAAAAGTTATAGAGCAGTGCAGCTAAGATGAAATTGTCCTTTCATTATCTCTAAACCTCATGAATCAACATTTGATTTAGTTCCTATTTTAGCCACAAGTGTAAAAGTCATAAGTTGAGGTTTATAATTTGTGTACAACCTGCCTCTGTTTTTGTACAGATTAGCCAGGCCAGCTGTTTTCCTCTGCTTCCAGGCTGGCTAACAATCTCCATGCTCTTGCTCTATATTTACTTTATAGATATGAAAGTGGCTTTAATCTTTTCATCTCACACTCGAAAACAAAGCAACCAAGATTTCCCAAAATACCAACCTATTCCTGTAACCATGCGCTGAACTTCTCATAACTTTAGGGGGAGTACTTAAATATCAACACATACACAGAGATGTATGAACATATTATAAATTGACAAATAAATGTCACCCCGGACTGGACTCTTGTTGTTTATGTCAGCTTTTGAAGTCAGATTTTAGTTTGTATGTGTGAAGTTCTTTGTGTCTTCCTTTGTCGCAGCTGACTTTATTTTCCTCGCTTTCTCCAGGGTGCGGCTTTTGTTGAAACCCCGTGAGATTTCTGTGTTTCTAGATGCCAAGGATCATGTTTTTAACATCTAATTCTAAAAATTAAACCAAAAAAAATGAAACATTTTCAAAGGAGCACTATTTTTAATACAAGCATCGTCATTATTTCTTTGTGCGTCTGCCGTCAGCTCCATGTGACGGGCTGACACGTTTTATGTGGGAAAAGAAAGGAGGCTTATGAGGCAGCATGAGATATTGTTCATGCACTCTGCTGCTGTTCGGCCAAAAGCCATAACTGTATATACACATGGAACACACACACACACACACACACTGAAAGCGAGGCTATTCTGGTCATCAGAACCAATTTTCTTGCTGCAGGCCTTACGTCAGCTTGTTCCCCCAGAGAGAAGTTGTTTTCCAATTACTCTGCCATTACTAAGATTATTATTTGCAAACTGACCCAGCGAGGTTGGTGGAGAAAGAAAAAAAAAATAAACAAAAAAAAGGAAATGGGGTGTAGAAAGTGAGAAGTGAGACCAGAAAGAAAAGAAACAAGTAGAAAATACATCACTGGAAAGAGGCATATGGTCTTCAAAGAACAGCTTGGAGACAGAAACAGAGCAGACAGACAGACAGATGGAAGAGAGTCAGAAGATGGTAGATAAAAAGAGGAAGAGCGAGAACAGAGGGATTTCTGTGGGCAAAGATTTACAGCCTGATTGCAGCTTGAATTAAGGCCTTCCTGTGAAATTGGCCTGCTTCCTGTGATGGGAGGCCTCATTTCCCAGAGGGACTCGATAAGCTTTCATTTAGTAAATATGTTAAACAATTTGGACTAAATGCCTTCAATTCCTGCCTCTGTCTTTCTGTCTTAACACACTGCTCTTTTTCTGAGAACACAACCCAGTGGCTGGAGAGTTCATTTTGCATACCTCCAGTGTTTGTGTACAGTTTCAGCTCACTAGCTTGTTAATGCAGCCCTGAAACTCCCTGAAGATGCTTTTGCAAGTCTGGCCATCTTGACTGCCTTTCACTTGTCTGGCTGGTTAGATAAAATGCTGTTTGTTCAAGATTTGCTTAAAATCGATGTCTAAGTCCATTAAGGACTATTAAGTGCCAAATATGAGTGGGAGGGGGTGTGTATTTCATTAAAAGCAAGCTGCACTCTACTGCTGTCTGTTTGAAATGTAGAGGCCATTTATGTGAGTACACACACACACACACACACACACACAAATGGATGCACATCTAATAAAATCCCAGTCGCATAAATACACACTAGACCACACACAAGCTCCTGCACATACAAGAGGCTTCATATAGTGACCTATGGCTCATCTCCTCCAAGCCAGGTGCCCCGATTACTCACCGTTAGACCTCCGCCCACTCACACACACCGAAGACGGTGACCTTCAAAGAGCAGACGTGCACACTAAAATACCATGTTTGAAGAGATGCTCTACTGTGAATGAGAAGCAGCTGCGTTCATTTCCTGACTTTCTGATCGGAGCTGAACAGAACAAACTAGGAGGATATCCTGGCTGTAGTTGTACATAAACACTCACATGCTTCTGACCTTCCAAGGATTCGTGTGAAAAAACAAAAACAAAACAAAAAGGTAGCAACAGAGTGTAAAAGTAAACTGTTGACAGTGATACAAATGGAGAACACACAAAGTTAGTGGAGCTCAGATTTGCCACTATGCCTCAAGGAAATTACATTTACATAAGACTAATGAGGTTTTCCCAATTATGCTGTGATGACAAACGCAGAGTGTGAGGTCACTAGTGGAATATAATTGAACTTTTCAGTGGGGAATATAGTGTTTGTTATTCCACCAAAATTATTTTTTACAATAGCTATTTGTTACTTTTCAGTTTAGGATATTACACACAACAACACAGAAGTTTTCCAAATAAAATGCATTGCTCTATATTAAAGCAGAGGTCCCCAGTGCTTTGGCTCAGAAACATTTCCCATTTAAACCTCTCAGATGGATTCATTTTAAGTTATGTAAGCAAAGAGGTACCGCAAAAAGCAAAGACTAAAAAAACAAAAACAAACTTGAGTAGCAAAACCTGCACAACCCCCTCAGATTAATGTTGTGATCCTTTGGAGGAACCATTTATAGAAACCAACTAATTGCAAGGACTTTCGCTAGATGTACTGGTGTCTTTCTTCATTGTCGTACTCCAGTAAAGAGTCCTCTCACTACCTCCATCACTGGTTCACTTTACTCAGAGCTGTGCGCAATCTAACATAAATTTCCATATTTTTTGAAGATATATGCTGATTAGGCATCTCAAGAAGATTAAACCTTTCAACGGCAGCCATAATCACTGCCTTGATTGTGTTTACAGGCAGGTGGTTGGGGAGGACGGTGGGCTACGGCGCACAGGAGGATGTGAACACCAGAGTATCTGCGTGTGGTTAAGTTAGGAAACAAAAGCACTTTGGTTGAGATAAGGGAAAGACTGTGGTTTCGGTTAAACATAAATATTCATGTCATGTCACAACAGAAAACTTAATCCTGGCAGCACATTGTTTTTGTCAAAACACATTTACTGTGACAGATTAGCTGCATGTAAACATGTCTTCTAATGTTCTCACCTTCTATGAAGTCAGACGGGGTGTAGACTTTGCTGGTTTGAGTCTTGTCCGCTGCTCTCCTGCCGTCCTGCTGGGATGAAGGTGTGTTGAGGCTGTGCAGAGCCATCTCCAGGACCTCCCCCAGCTCCTCTCTTTTGTCCTTCCTCACTGGCTTCTCCTCAGGATGACGTGTGAGCCCCATCTCCAGCTGGTAGACCCTCTGAAGGGTGAAGCTCTCGAACGGCACCACAGCGTACTCGCTGGGCAACCTGGTGCCAGCAGTCACCTCAGCTTTTGACAGCTGGCCCCTCAGGAACTCTTGGAGGTCCGTCTGCTGGCTCTTGGCTCCCTGAGCTTCTCCAAGGCCACCTCCTTGTAATCCAGCTCCTACTTCGTGCCCCTCTGCTGGGCCCCCAGCAACTCTTTTTAGGCTTTCCTGCACTCCTTTCAGCTGCTGGCTGCGCTCCTGCAATGCCTCCTTCAGCTGAGCTATCTGCTTCTTCAAAGAGGAGATGTGTAGGCGATGCTGTTCCTCACGTTCTTGGAGGAGCACCTGGTAAGAGTGGACACCTGGTGGGCCGCCGCTTTGGGCAGGCCCAGCTCCGGCTCCTCCTGGCCCACCAGCTCCTGCTCCAATACCCGGACCTGTACCTCCAAGGCTGGGGTGGTTGGATCCAGCACGGTGACTCAACGGAGGGTCATCAGAGTGCGGAGGGCTGCACGTCATCACATAGAGGAGTGACAGGGAGCAGCAGAGGAGCACCAGAATGCCTCCAACACGGGACACCCAGGCTAGCAGTCCACGCCGCAACATCACCGCATGTAGCATCAAAACTCACTCCTCTGAGTTAAAGAGCTGTACACACAGAAATATCATGTAACCTCACCCTCTCCAGCCTCAATGATAAGAGTCCATTTGTGATTATGTTCCATCACCCAGTGAGGAGGCGGCTACTTATCAGTGTGAGGTCATTTAATCTGAATTAGGTCATTGCTTCTCAACTGTCTGAGACTTCAACTTGTTTTGTCATCGGCAAAATGAATGAACGAGTGTCAACAACGTATAAAAAGCACTCTTTCCCTTTCTGTTGTTCCAATTAGCTCCATGGTCGGCTGGAAGACTCTGTTCTAGACGTGGTTACATCATCTGCCACTCACAGGTGACTCATCTGTGTTCGAGTGCTCCGACTCTCTCAGTCAGTCCATACTGTCCTCTTCTCGTGTCTGACTGAGTCTTGGAATGAGTGAATATTCAGCCACATAAGCCCGGATAGAGCTGGCTGATGCATGGAGAAAAAATGTAACATTTTAATGAGAAAACAAATCCTCTGCGGTCACCGGTGGTTTTCTCATGGTATTTTCCTAAGAGAGGAAACAGAAAGCAGAGAGAGACACAGGGGTTGTGTTAGTAGACAAAAAAGTTCTCAACGTCTTGACCTCCACCAACTTTATCTCATCACTGTTAGTTGTGTCATTCAAACGTGTAACCAGTCGGAAACATGCCAGGCTACTTAGACGTATTAGTTTTAGGGTGGCAAAGGGTTTAACTCCCTACGCCAAGCTAAGCATTACTTCAGGACTGCAGCTCCCGGAAAACAATGTTGTCACTGATGTGTGTGGATACGGCAGCGTGCAAGGAGGTGTGTGCTTAAAAGGGTGGAAATGATAATGTGTGTGTGTGTGCATTATTGTGAATGTGTGTTCAGTGGATACAGAGAAAAGCAGCCATACATTTGTCTATTTATACCTGCAGTTAGTATAAATGTAGTCTCATATTACCAGGCTGCTCTCTATTAATTTATTTGAACACGAAAGCTCTTGAGATACATTATCTTCTGTAAGAGATATTGTCTATTTAAGACCATTACATCCCTCAGGCAGCATTTGTAGCCACCCCAGCAGCATGGCTAGCAATGCCAGCGGGCTGGTCAGTCCGGTTCTTTGGTCCAGAGTGAAATGTATCGACAACTATTGAGTGGATTGTCATTTAAATTCAGTGCAGACATTCATGGTCTGCAGAGTATGACGCTCGCGGACTTCGGTGGGCTTATCTGAAATGTCACGACAACTTTCGTTATGGATTGGTACACAATTTAACACAGGTGTCTTCCCCTCAGACTAAATCACAGTGATGATCCTCTGACTTTTCATCTGGAAGCATCATCTTTTCAAAACTTTGCTGCCATTGTTACCGACAAAACTAATGACATTTCCATCTGTCTCAGATGTACTCTGTGTTCGAGGCAAATCGGGAAGTGTAGGTGTGCCAAGACACACAACTACGATAATGACAATAGTAAGCATTGTACCTGCTGCTACTATCATTACTCCCTATGTAACAGCCAGTACAGAGTTCACTCATTAGAGAGCAGTGAACTGCGATTTGGAACACTTGTGATTCATAGCCATTTTGGATTAAAGTGTCACACACATTTTTCCATTTATAGATCATCCATCATGATCATTCAGATATTGTGATCAACCTGCAATCCTAAACAGATACAGACATAAATATAAGACTTAAGTATAGATTCTGTGACTTCTATATTAAAAAAAAGTGAGCAACAGAAAGGTGTTTTTGGATGTGTGAATGTGACTCTTGAGTATATGTATGTTTTGGTGGGAAGATGTTTCAGTGGTCGAGTTACTGTACGTATCTGTAAATGTATCTCTGTGTATCAGTCTCAGTCTCTCCTGACTCCCCACACAGTCAGCTCTTTGACAGGACTGCCTGAAGCTAATGAAAGGATTAGTATATGGCAGACGTGAATACTGGACTGTGCTCTAACAGATGGCTGAATCCAGGGAGAGAGAGAGAGGGGGAGAGGGAGAGAGGGAGGGCGTCTCTCCAGCAGGACCTCCACTGCAGACTTACAAAATGTTTGAGGAGAGGGTGCTCAGGGGAAAGTGGGTGAGTCGGTGCCGGAGAGCAGAATGTGGCTTCTGAGATGAAGTATCATCCTTTCAATTATAGGAGAATCCTCATGATGTCATTATACGGAGCCATAAATCCTCTGAAAAATGTGGCATGACATTAATGGTAGTTTAATCAGTTTCTTTGGTTGCCTCACAAATGGCTCTCATTAGTTTTGTATCCATGCGATCACATATGCAGGGAACCTCCTTGAAATAATTACATCACTTCTCCCAGATGACTTTCCTGATTTCACGACTTCCTGTAACTACACTTGCAGTAGTGCCAGTGAAAGCGATCACAAGCCATTCACACAAATTAAAGCGTGCACTTAGCTCTGACATTGTGAAGGTCAATTTGGCTTTTTATTGAGGAACAAATGCATTACTTTGCATTTTTAACTACAGCAAGCTGCAGATGCTTTCAGCCACAGTGGGAGCAGAGTGACACGCTTATCATAAAGCAAATGTCACATTTAGTTATTCTCTGCAACCACTTTTTAAACAGCTACAAACGCAATGTAAATTGGCACATCATTTAACAATGAACTTTTTTTCATTAATCAGTTAATTTTTTTCAATCGAAAATGTCAGAAAATAATGAAATATGCCCACAAGTCGCCAGAGCTCACATAGTTTTTCTTGTTAGTATTCAACTTACAATGACATAAACTGGAAAAAAGCCAGACGAAGTAGTAATAAACATCTGTTAGGGCTGCAGCTGACAATTATTGTCACTGTCGGTTAATCTGTTGATTATATTTTGCTCATTTTTTGGTCTATAATGTGTCAGAAAATGGTGAAAAATGTCTCTCAGTGTTTCCTAAAGTCCAAGACGACATCCTCAAATGTCTGATATTCATTTTACTGTCATTGAGGAAAGAAATGGGGGGAAAAAAATCACATTTATCAAGCTGGAATCAGAATATTCAGACATATTTTTCTTAAACAAAACTATTCCAACCAATTATTCAATTATCCAGATAGTTTAGGTGATAAATCTACCAGCTGACAACTCATCGATCGGTTGTTGCAGCTCTAATACCTGTATCTGACAGAGCTGTATTTATTCCCCTGTGATATTGCTGAGACGTGCGGCTTCTACCTCTGCCAAATGGATCCCAAACACAATAGAAGTACGCTGCGTATAATCTGTGGCAAAGCGATCATTCACTGCTGTAAAGTTATGAGAGAAAGATTCATCACTGGGAAGGAGGTTGGTGTGATTTAGATTTATGAGCAGAGACTCACAGTCAAACCACTGAGTCTCACCGGGAATGAATGCATCGATTCAGCGCTGGTTATTTGACTCCCCGTGGGGATAGGCATGGCTGCAACACAGGAACACCAGCAGCTAAATAATCAGTTTTGATTTTATTGGTGGTGAGGTGTCTGAACAGGCATTTCCTCTTACTATCTCACTTGCACCCATTTAATGCTTCTCCGCATGGTATTTATAGTAGGAGCATTTACTGTAAGGTATGTGATATACTACGATAGTGAACACGGAAAACAACGTATGCACTTAAGAGAGGCATATCACCGTTGTCATTTTTAGCGTCTAGTGTTAGTGTTCAGCCTCAAGTAGGACCTCAGATATCTGCCAGTGCAGCTGTAGAGTCTTAAGTCCCGTCAACACTGTGAAGCACTTTTCCCGAAGACACTTTCCCCCTTGATTCGCAGCTTATCTCTGTGTTATCGCACAGCTTTGTTGTTGAGATACTTAAAACTTCAAAGACCATAGCACCAAACATGTCAGGATTTCCAGCAAACTTGCACTGACACTATTTTTTCAGAGAGGAAATGACATCAGTCGACTGTGCGACCTCTGGTTTTGGAAACAACACCCTGGCCTGACTTCACCCAACACCGTCCACATTTATATATTTTAATGATTGTACGGCATTTCTGCTTCAGCAACAACAAAAACCCACAAAGAAACTGGCATGAAATTTACCACAACAGTTCCTGTTGCCGTTCTCTGCGACGTTACGACTTCCCTCTCTAACTTTTTGCCTGGCTGGACCTGCACCTGATAACAGCTTCCTGATGTTTGTTTCAACCTTCACTGTTCATGCGGCTCCGACAAAGCCCATATCAAAGACCCCATGGTGCTGCCGCTTGACGAAATCTTTTTTTTTCCGCATAACAGAACTAATAAATCTACATGCTATATGAACACAGGCTTGTTTACCAACAGAAGAAAAAAAAAAAAAGGCAGAGGATACATTTCCTGCACTTCCTGAGATGACAAAGCTGATAAATGTGTTTCTCCCCCCTTATCACATTTTTCATTCTCTCTGCTGGAAATAGAAACACAGATACAGGGACGAGAGCGGCAGAGGGTCAGGGAAAGAGAGATGAAATATTTAATCAGGCTGTCATAAAGAAAAGAAAACAAGAGATGAGAAAGAGAATGATTTAGTATTTGGTGGCCTGAGATGTTTCCAGCGGCAGAGCTCGGGAGCATCTGGTTCAGCCTCCAAAATCACTTCCTCCCCTCCTGCTGCAGCTTCCTGCCCACAGGGGGATTTGCGTGTTTATTTGTGTGCTTCGGTTAGTGTAACATATACGTGGGAATATGTGCGGGAGTGTATCTTTTATTTTTGCAGCAAAAATATTAAAGCTTATCTCTTAACACCTGTTAAAAGTGTTGTGCTTATCTTGGTGAAAATGAGTCAGATGGGAAAAAAAAAAAAACACCACGGCATGAGCTAACGGCGAGCGTTGAGTGAGCACTCAGAGCTGCAGGGTTTTAGTGTCAGAAAACAGAGAGAGAATGAATTTCTCCTCAGTCCTCGGCCCCGTTTCTGGTTGACAGTCACACTGGTACAGCAGAAATCACACGCAGGTGACAGGTTATCTCTGTCTGTGTGCTCCTCTCTGTTCTAACCGCCTACGCATGCCAACCTTCAAATGTCTGAGGCATTTGAGAAGCCACCTTGTGACCCTCTTATCGTGACAAATGTAGCATCTCGGTCCTGCTGTCAGATTTAAAGAGCCGGCTGTCTTTGCTCTCTGCTGGTACTTAATGTATTCAGGACTGCTCTTAAAGAATAATGTATGCACTGAGAGTTGGCAGTATACCATCTTTTCAAAGGGTGTAAGCGTGTGTGTGTGTGTGTGTGAGAAAGAGAGCGGAAATGACAAAAAAAAAAAGCAGGGGAAAATCATAGAGAGGAAACAAAGAAGACACGGTACATCTACTACAAAAGATCTTATCGGTGTGTTTGTGTGACTAAGCTCTTTAACTGTAAATTCCACACTGTGTATTTTTGCTGATAATCTTAATGATCACACTTAAGAGTTTCACACCTTTAGTGGGTTTTTTTTCCCAGTTCTTGGCAGCCATTGTTTTAAATAACTTCTATATTTTGTTCATTTTTATTGGCCAGCACATGAAAGAAAATGTAAATACTATCTGAGTAGAATATATTCCTAAAAAAAGC